TCTTATATTTTATACGACAAATAAAATCGAAAATATTCGCTAATCTCATATGCTTTTAGGGATTCATTTAATATTCAAATTACAAATGACGAGTATTAATAAAAATTTAATTACAACCCATAAAAAATGCATTAAGGCTTAAAAATTTTTCAGATGTAAAACTTTATAATTTAGATAAATCTCCAGTCGTTTGCCATTAAATATAAAGGCCAGAGATGTATACGAAATGTACAGTAGAGTAGACTAAACCCAGTAATAAAGTAGTAATAGGTTTTTGTGGGCTTTAAAACTAATGTTTACAGAAATATAATTATTGATATTAAAAGTTGACAACAAATTATAAATTATGAATTAAATCGATTGAAACAATTCTCAAAACACATTTGCAGTTTGGATGTAGACATTAATTGTTGTTTTTTGATTATAATAATCATCATTCAGTCATAACAACTGTTCCCAAACGCACGGCCGGTGCTCTCAATTACTACAACACTTTAATGTGTGATAAATATCTCATATTATAATTGTTTTAAAAAAATCTATTCTCACTTTTAAAACATATTTGTCGCAAATGAGTATAAAAATAAATGTATGTTTTCCAGTGGCGTAACACCGGGTGAACATTGAATTGTGTTTAATGTAAACAGCGATCCAATACATAGTCGAGTATAACTTAACATCAAATTTACATTTATTTTTTGGACTCAAGACTTGATATTATATAAAACTCAAATTCTCGACAAATATAACGTTAATACAAAGGAAAGGTGTGCAGAGATTCAATGTGTTCAGAGGCTCTCTCTCTCTCTCTCTCTCTCTCTCGCTCTCTCATAACTTATATAACCTTTAATATAATCACAGCTCTAATGTGTTTTGAATCTCATTAAAGTACAGAATATGCTCTCATTTAATATTCGCAAATCTAATCATTAAAAGTTTATTCCTATAATTTTTCAATACATGCAAAACATATAAATTTAAATATTATTGATATATTAGAAAAGGATTATTAAAAATTAGTATCAGAAACACTATTTAGCGCTTTTAAACCACTGGTATGTGATGTGAATGCATTCAATGGGTGAAAACTGGGCCTTAATTTAATATATAAATATTGATTTAATCAAAATCTGCTTAACTTTGCTCTGAAATGCAATTATATAATGTATTCAATCAAATCATACATTGAATGCAAAGAACTTGTTTTAAAGAAAACTTATTTATTCCGTAAATATTGCGTTGAATTTGTTATCTCTGAGAGAGGATGAGATGTACTGAGACTACGATCAATACATTATATTAAACATTCATAGAATTTATGAAAAAATATACATTAAGTTATATCAAACTGGAGGAGAATTTTAAATTTCTTGTATAACTAGTGATGAATAAATAGAGAATTAAAGAGAGAGAGAGAGAGAGAGAGAGAGAGAGAGAGAGCCTCTGAACACATTGAATCTCTGCACACCATTCCTCTGTATTAACGTTATATTTGTCGAGAATTTGAGTTTTATATAATATCAAGTCTTGAGTCCAAAAAATAAATGTAAATTTGATGTTAAGTTATACTCGACTATGTATTGGATCGCTGTTTACATTAAACACAATTCAATGTTCACCCGGTGTTACGCCACTGGAAACATACATTTATTTTTATACTCATTTGCGACAAATATGTTTTAAAAGTGAGAATAATTTTTTTAAACAATTATAATATGAGATATTTATCACACATTAAAGTGTTGTAGTAATTGAGAGCACCGGCCGTGCGTTTGGGAACAGTTGTTATGACTGAATGATGATTATTATAATCAAAAAACAACAATTAATGTCTACATCCAAACTGCAAATGTGTTTTGAGAATTGTTTCAATCGATTTAATTCATAATTTATAATTTGTTGTCAACTTTTAATATCAATAATTATATTTCTGTAAACATTAGTTTTAAAGCCCACAAAAACCTATTACTACTTTATTACTGGGTTTAGTCTACTCTACTGTACATTTCGTATACATCTCTGGCCTTTATATTTAATGGCAAACGACTGGAGATTTATCTAAATTATAAAGTTTTACATCTGAAAAATTTTTAAGCCTTAATGCATTTTTTATGGGTTGTAATTAAATTTTTATTAATACTCGTCATTTGTAATTTGAATATTAAATGAATCCCTAAAAGCATATGAGATTAGCGAATATTTTCGATTTTATTTGTCGTATAAAATATAAGATTCAGAGAATATGCAATAAAATTCTGGGTTTTTGACGACAACATCGCTTTTTTGTGTCAAACCTTCTCCTGTAATGTATGACTAGTGGAGACTCTTATACTGTAGTCACAGTAAGACACAGAATATTCTTGAGATATAATTAAGCGATCAAAGTGTGTATCATATGATAGTCTGTTTAAAAGTAATTTATATTTGACGCCCCATTATATTAGAATTCATTATATATTTTCTTACATTTCTATTAACTATTCATTAAAAATCCGAAATTTGATATTTATTTGTCTTTTAATGTGTTATAAAATATTCTCGTAATTATTATTCAGTTTTAATGTTGAATATATTTTCCCAAATGCATTGAATCGATAAAATAAAGCTAAAACTCGAGTATAAATGAAACGCTAAGAAAACAAATACACAAAACATTCAGCCAATGGTTGCGTAACCGAAAGGTAGGAAATAATAATTAAATTTAAAATTTAAATTATGGTTTACTGTTCAGTGGATTCTCGTATTCAATGGGAAAGTGTGTCAAATCATCGCTTATTATAATGAACTGAAGATTATTTTTATATTTTTGGTCAATATTTACAATAACTTTCGAGTGTTTGAAAAGTAAGAGATAATGAGAGTGAATGAGACAGACATGCAGTTGGAGAGAGAGAGAGAGAGAGAGAGAGAGAGCAGAAAAGCCCTAACAATCAGAAAAACTCATCTTTTATTCATGAATATGCTTTTAAACAAACTAATAGAGAGTTTGTGAGAAATCCCTAAAAACCAAAACAAAAATACATTATTTTAATTATACAAACGAAATAATAATTCTTATAAACATATTTTAATTTCCTGTTTAGCAAAGCCTTAAATATATGTATTTTAATAAAAATAATATTCTATTCAATTCTGTAGATATAAGAATCGTTAGTAAAATTACAGAGCATTTTACCAAACTATATGGTATTAACTTTTATGAGAGAGAGAGAGAGAGAGAGAGAGAGAGAAATGGATAGAATCTAATAGAAAATGAATAAAATTGTTTCCTGAGTGTCCGCCACATATGCAGTGTCTCTCATAAAATGCATTTATGATATTCTGTGGCCCAAAAGGACATGCGTTAACATAGGAATAGCGAGTTTGTTATATTCATTTAATTTATATACTCTTCACTCTATATTTGTATGGATTTGTTGTAAAAATAAGTTTTTATTTTCACTCGATTTTCAATTCTGGCGATAAGAGAGTTGCGGCGAAACAGGAGTTTACGGCATCGAAAGCAAAGTCCAAAACCGATTGTAAGCTTTCAATCAAAGCCAGTCTTCGCGTTGACTCTGTATTTCACACCAAATACCGGGAGATTAACGCTTTCTTAACGCTATTCTCGCCAATTGAGTGACAAATTGTGTTAAATAAGTGTACGTTTTATCGATCTATAACTTGAATTATTTTGCACACAAAACACAACTTTCACTCTATATTATACGGACTATAGTGTGTGTGAATGTGGTGTTCAACCAGAAGGTCAACCCATTTGATGATCGCTCACAACAATATACTTAATTCACTGCTTTCACTAGTCGTCCACACGTAACCAACTTTTAGCCATCAAAACATTAATCTCCAAATCATTAATACTTATTCATTATATAAGTATTATAACGTTATATAACTGTAAGCTATTATTGATTAGCTTTAATATTAAATAAATGCCCAATTGATTGGCATTCGGGTAAAAATCATTTGTTGATTTCAATTATATTTATATTATGGATAAATAATGAATAAATCTCTTATCTATTAGTTGTTCCCATCACTCACTCTACAGTACTAAACAAAACGCCACTATATTATGAAAAGTGGTATAATTTTTGCTTTCAGCGACTTTACTGTTCTTAACATTAACTTCAATACAATAATAATAACATTCATCTGATTTTCATCTAAAATTTATTTTTATCGATTATAACTCCGAGTTATATATTATTTTTTGTTTGGAGTTATAAATACTGAGTTTCGACTTAAAAGCCAATTCACTGCACAAAACGCCTATAGACTAGTGTTTTGGCGAAGACTTTTCACAATTCAATTCCTAACCGTAAGTTTGATTTCGTTTTCATATCAATCGATAAAAATAACTATATTTTGTCAGCAGTTTTATTATCATTTTTTAAGTAAATCTTTTATTTTTTACATTAATCCCTGAAAATCCATTTTTAAAAGCAATCTCTCGTAAGAAATATTTAAAAATAGAAACTATTATTCTATGGAAATAAACAATTCTTCGGGTCCGCCGACACCGACCAGAGCCCAGAGATTTAAGCCCCCGAGAGATATGTCGGCGCCGACCGGCAAACGCCAGTGGTCTCTACCCCGACGGCTCATGTCTATGGGCTTTACGGGACTCAACAGAACCACATCTAATATAGAGCCGCGAACTTACACCAGAAGTAATGGCATTGAAGAGACCGATGATATCAAATACATCGAGTATTTATCTATTTAATCAGTAATTTCCTTAGCATTACATATCGTTAATGAATCAAAAATTGTTGTTATAATCAGTGATGTGGAGAATGAGGCGATTAAAGACGAACTGTTCGGTGAATTCGGCTTCACTTTCGACCAAATCACTGAAATGCAAGGCCTGAGCATCGCTTCGGCCATCTACAAGACCTATCCGGCGATCGTCAACAACAAGACCACAAAAGTACTCATATGTTGTGGATCTGAATTGCTGGGCAAGAGTGGACTCGTGGCCGCCCGTCATCTCAAACTGTTTGTGAGTTCACTAATGCATGACATCCTTGACCCCAATGGACACACAGGAAATGTGTGCTTCAAATAGCCATTTATATCATGGCAACTGAATATACACACAATGCATGCAATATATAATAAATAGATATAAAATATTAAATGGCAATAATATTTGTGTGTGTTTTGTATACATTTCTAGTAATGATTGTATTGAATAGGGTTTTCGTGCGACAATATATAACCCAACGCCGGGAAAGACACCGCATTATCATCGGCTCATCAGACAGTGTCAAGAGTTTGAGATCTCATTCCTATCGTATTTGCCGAATGAGTCGC